ATGGAGGCAGTAGCTCAAACATAAGGGTCAAACATTCACACACCACTCTTGTTGGACCAGACGAGGGCCTCACCATTGACCCAGTCCCCATGGGTATATCCTATAACTCCCCCACTTCACAACTTCCATCAAGTTCTGGGGGCTCTCCCTTTCTACCCCCAACATCACACGGGGATGATCTATGCACCCTGGTTTCAACACATGAATACCTTCTCCCCACCAGAAATGAATCTGTCACCAACGAGCGATTCAGGAACCACTATCACCTTTCTTCAGTCCTCCAATGACTCCACCTCCATCGCCTAACGAACTAGGAGAGCAACAAGGTTGGAATTAGAACAAATAACGGAGGAAATGAGAGAAACACGAGCAGAGTTCATATGGCTAAAGGGGTTCTATCTCTACAGCCTCAAAAGAACAATACGCAAAAAAATTCATACTGAAATTCCCTCTAGAACTAACAACATGCAGTGTAAACTTCAGGGTAAATCAAAACCAACAGGAGGGAAAATACTCGATGGTGATAATACCATCTCTGAGAATGACTACTCCAACACAGCAAAACTATCAAGCATCATTGGGAAGGACGAGAAGTAGCGGACCTAGATGAACCACAAAACCAACAACCTATTATGAATCTAATCGTTTGGAATTGTAGGGGCTCAAATAATGCAGAATTTAGACGACAGTTTAGATCATTGTTGGACAACTACAAACCTGTCTTAGTTGCACTACTGGAGACACACATGCATGATCACATAGTTTTAAAAAATGATTTTAACTCCTCGCACATGGCACAAGTTGAGGCACAAGGAATGTCGGGTGGTATAACTTTACTATGGAATGCAGATTTGGTAATTGTGGATCTAACAATGACTACACAGGAGGTGAACTGTATGGTCCAGGTATTGCCTAACGCTACTAAGTGGTTGCTTTCCTCGATTTATGCAAATAGTTTTATTCCATCACGTAGCTTATTGTGGCATAATTTAAAATGTGTACATGACTCTTATAAGGGTCCCTCGCTAGTTGGAGGGGATTTTAATGAGGTCATTAGATAAAATAAAAAATATGGAGGAAATCTTATTAACAACGCAAGGGGGGATGCTTTTGCTCAATGTCTAAATTATGTTAACTTACTAGACCTAGGGTTTAAGGGTAGTCGGTATACATGGACAAACAAACGTAGGAATGGGAATACTATCCTAGAATGATTGGATAGAATACTATCTAACTCTGACTGGCTTCAAATTTCCCCAGAAACAGTAGTGCAACACCTTCCACGCACATACTCTGACCATTGTCCTGTTCTGGTCACACTTCAACAAAATAGGGTTCCTAGAAATAACATATTCCGTTTTAAAAAAATATGGACTACAAACCCTTCCCTTATTAATGTAATACAACAGTCATGGCAACATAGCTCATCTTTAGTAGAAGCTATGACAAATTTTAAGTAGAATGTAACTTATTGGAACAAGCATACTTTTGGGAACATTTTCACAAAAAAAGGAAATTATTAAATAGAATTAATGGCATACAAAAATCAATTCACTATCCTACTAGCCATTTCCTCCGGACCTTAGAAATACAACTAACTCATGATTTAGTGATTTGCTTAGGCAAGAAGAAGACTTTTGGAAATTAAAATCAAGAATCCATTGGTTAAATGACGGTGATGCAAACACCAAATTTTTCCACATGTCTACTTTACAGAGACGTAGACGTAATCGCATAAATGCTTTAAAAGATAGTGTAGGGAATTGGACTTTTGATCCAACGGAAATACAAAACTCCATACTTCAATACTACACTGACCTTTTCAAAACACAACACTGCTTCACTAAGAATATCACAAAAAATTACCAAATAATCAACTCATTAAATTACGATGATCAACAATATTTGGCCAAACCAATGCACTTGCTTGAAATAAAACATGCAATCTTCTCATTCCAACCATTTAAAGCACCTGGCACGGATGGATATCATCCATATATTTTTCAAACATATTGGCAACAAGTGAGTCAATCACTTATTCAATGTTGTCATAATGCTTTCAAGGAAAGCAAAATACCAGAAGAAATTAACAAAACTTATCTTTGCCTAATTCCAAAAGTGAAAAAACGCTGTAGCAATCACTCAATATCGACCCATAAGCTTATGTAACACAACTTACAAAGTAATTATAAAATTATTGTCAACAGGCTAAAATCTATCTTACCAAAATTAATTGGACCCATACAATCCAGTTTTCAACAGGGGAAAAGAGCTTCAGATAATGCTATCATTGTGCAAGAAATACTTCAACACTTAAAAAAGAAGAAAAACGGACGAATGGGACACATGTTGTTAAAATTAGACTTGGAGAAGGCTTTTGATAAGCTTGAATGGTCATTCATCTATAGCACACTTCACTATTGCAATTTGCCACAAAATCTAATATCTCTTATCATGTCTTGCGTGACAACATCTTCCATCTCTATCCTGATAAACGGATCACCTACTAATTTCTTTCACCCCACTAGGGGAATACGTCAAGGAGACCCCTTATCACCCTATATATTTATAATGTGCCTAGAACGCCTATATAGGAATATATTCCAATCAGTAAATTACCTAAGATGGAAACCTATTCAAATTTCTAAAAATGGACCACAACTATCACATCTCTTCTTCGCAGACGACATTATATTACTATCTACAGTAGAAGATAAGAGTTGCAACACCATCGTTGATACAATCAACAACTTTACTAAGCTATCTGGACAAACACTGAACTTCAATAAATCAAGAATTTTCTTCTCAAATAATTGCGACCCTCAAGCCAAATCTAATACTTGCCAACTTTAATATGCGTGAAGGGAAGCAATTTGGGAAATATTTAGGATTCACAATGCTCCAAAAACGTCCTCAACAATCATACTTTCAATATCTCTTAGATAACTTCAAGGCTAGATTGGCAGGCTGGAAAACAAATTTTCTTTCCCTCCCGGGGAGAATCACTCTAATTAAATCCACCCTATCAAGTTTATCAACCCATATAATACAATACATTGCAATTCCTCAATCAATTATAAAAAAATGGAACAGTATATGCGCAATTTCTTTTGGGGAAGTACACAACAAAAAAGAAAAATTCATTTGGTAAATTGAAAAACAGTTACAATGCCCAAAAATGTAGGAGGTTTAGCTATACAAAGACTTCAATTAAAAAATGAGGCACTGCCGGCAAGTTTAACATGGCGCCTTTTACACTATTCAAATACTTTATGGGCTTCCACTATTATACACAAATACAAGGACTGACGCACACCACAAAACTCATCGCATATTTGAAAAAACATTATGTTAGGATGGAAAAAATGCCAAGTTGGCATTCAATGGCAAATAGGGAAACATTCAAACATAAATTTCCGGACGGAGCCATGGATTGCTCCCAACACCACAATATTATCCTTACTCCATGGGCCAATATCTTTGAAACATATTAAACGGAATATTAATACTTACAGAAAGCATAATACTTGGAATTGGGCAGAAATTCCCTTTAATGTGACAAAAGATTTTAAAGCAAAACTAAATAGGATTAATATACCCATATACACGAACAAAGTGGGCACACTCTCCTGGGGAATAACCAACAATAGCAAATTTATTGTTCAGTCGATGTACTCACATTTGCTACAAAAGACTTACAAATGCAGGAACAACCAATAGCTTATAATTGGATCTGGAAAATTCAAATACCTCCAAAGATAAAAACATTCATATGGCTCCTCATGCATAATAGATTACCAACAAAAACTTATCTACATCATATAAGCATCACGCTAGAAGACCACTGTCAACTTTGCCATGCAACACCGGAAACAATAAACCATATCTTTCTTGATTGTAAATACGTAACTCATATTTGGAATGAATTAGGAATAACAGACCTTATCAATCAATTAAATCAATCCACACACCCATCAGAATGGGTAATCAAATTGATGAACACTAAGTATGGCAATATGTCTTATCTTATAAATAGGAAAACATTCATCTCATACACTTTATGGGACATTTGGCTAAACCGTAACCATAACAACTTCAATAATACACGACACCACTTATCTTTTACACATGTTACTAATCATGCTCTTGAATTCACCTATCTCGCTCCGAAGGTAACCATAAAAAAACAAACATTCATGCATCCCATTAAATGGATACCTCCTAAACCAAACTACTATAAATTAAACACGGATGGGGCTGTCGTAACATTAACTCAGAAAACAGGAATAGGTTGAGAAATACGTGACACCAATGGCAATTGGATCATAGGTTTTGCAGGGAATTTGGACAATGCCAACATTGTTCAGGCAGAACTACAAGCTCTATGCCATGGACTAGAAGGCAAACACATATCATTTGGTTCCACTGGAAATCAACATCGATGCAACAAAGGTAATCATGATGTTAGAAAAAGATAACCTCCTTTATACTAATATAATACATGACTGCAGGCACCTCCTGGACAAGCTGCATAGTCCTACTATTACGCACACCTACAAGGAGGGGAACGAGGTGGCTTATGGCTTAGCAAAAGCGGGGTGCAGCATGAACTCTACTACAACTGCAATCATTTTTGAACAACCACCGAATTTTGTCAAAATCTTTTTGCAAAGGGATCGAGCAGGGGCCACTCGTCTAAGGAAGACAACATGGACACAGCAAGTACAATGGGACAATCAACGACAACTGGATGCTCCCTCTAGCGATACCATGATGGATAACAATGTTAGAATTGATAGTAGTAGTCCTTGTAATGATCAAACAACCATAAACTATAACATAGATGCGACAACATCACCCTCTCTGTCGCAACTTTATTTATGTTTAATGGGATTTATCTTTCCAATCAAAAAAAAATAAAGTACTGTATACTGTGTACATACAACTTCAAAAAGTAAAATAAAATGTTGGCTATATGTAAACGATAAATGTGACCATGTCGGTGTAAATTGTAATATATTGTGTGCTGTAATTTGTGCAAAATTCCCAAAAATCAAACCCTTACCCGCCGCTTTTCTAACAAAAACAGAAAACGGATAAAGTTTCTCTCATCCCTGTCTCTCTAGCACTCAAAGTTTGTGCTGAAGTAGAAATGCTTGCCAACCCTAGCTTCCATGGACGACCTCTGCAATTTGTACCAACAGTTCGTAACGAACTATGCAGGCCCTACCCTTGCCCTCTACAGCTTCACAGCAGAAGCTATCAGTTCCTTGCTTCCTCATTGGGAGACAAGAGGAAGAGAATAAGAAGAAGAAGAAGCATTAGCCGAAGTTTTAAAACTCAATTCTCCGTAAGAGCTTCAGCGGAGCCTCAGGACCTGTCGGTTTTGGCTGTGGGTAGTGCTGGAGTTCAAGCCTCCCCATTCTCTGTTCGAATACCCGTTGGGGATAGACATGTAATGCTCTTGTCTTCGCTAAATGCGTCACTACTGTTTTCCATGTGCATTATTTTACTTGTTTTTTTAATTCGTTTGGCTCTGGAGGAAGATAGTTAAATTTTACTTCCTAGTTTGGTTCTCCCGTAGCTAAACATGACAATAATAAGTAATGTTTCTTCTGTTCCGTTTGTAGGTTGACTTGGTGGGTAATTGACCAAGTGTTAAAATAAATGGATAGTCTCTATTGAACCTAGCATTACTAAATATTGTAAGGAGGGGTTTAACCTTACTAGAGTAGGATAAATATACTATTGCATGACGTGTTAGGCATGCAGGAAAATTATTTTTCGTGAAAGTGCTTCACCTAGAGAAATTTTTTGATGATTTTCTAGTGTTTGGTTGAGTATAAAAGTAAGTGACGTGATAATTGTATAAGATGGAGGATATGGTTTCATGATACTATTTTGGTGATATCTTTTGAATATTAAATACTCAAAACAATGTCAAGTGTTGGTTGAAGCAAGTGGCAGGAGTAAGATTTCGGATAGTTGTGAAGGAAAATGACAAGTGACAGATATCATTTTAGTTTCCACAATCTAAGTTAATGAAATGCTGGAATGGGGAAACATATACAATATTTTCTATAGTTAACTTGAGCTATTATGCGGTCTATGTTCTTAAATCTTACTTCATCTATTTTCCAAATTAATCTATTGAGTTGTCTATTTTCTTGATCCATCCAACTTGAAACTAATACAATAAGCTTCCTGAGCTATTGAGCTATCTATCTTTTGAATCAGTTTATTGCACTTTTACAGATAACGGTTGAGACAGGTCTTATAGGGAGGCAGGCTAGTGGGGCAGTTACAGTTACAGATGGAGAAACTGTAAGTTGTTTTCCTCTATTCACAACCTTGTGTCGATGGAGGATTGTTGCATCCAGCTTCCTATCCAATTGATGGTGTAATTTTTTTGTGAACACATTTGTGTTTTTTTGGGAAGTAGTACTAACTTTTTTTGATCGGTGTGAGTAGACACTTGCCCGCAAATCCACCTCTACAAATGTATTTGGAGAGTATTCTTGTATTTCTCTCTCTTTCATTT